TCAAAGTTTTATAATATTCAGCATACGATTTTTTTTTACATCTTTTGTTAAATATTCTTCTAAATATCTGGAGGGATATTTTGTAAATAAGATTGTTTTCTTAGTATTTTTGTTTTGTATTCTTTATTGTTGGTGTATCAAATTGCTACTGATATTTAAATGCAAATTTTTTAACTGAAATTTTATTGTGTTATTTTTTGAAATATGTGTGTATGCATGAGAACCAGATGTGTTAGTACACATCTATAATCTCAACTTCTCAGGAAGCTGAGGTAGGAGGATCACAAGTTCTAGGCCAACCTGGGCAATATAGTCAGATCCTGTCTCTAGAAAAAAATATCTTGGCATCAGGAATCTAAGATAATTTCATATTCTCTTTTTTTATATAAAGATGTCTTTTATTTATTTTTCTTGATTAATTTTCTTGGCCAGAATTTCTAGTACTATGTTGAATAGATGTGTTAAGAATGGTAATCTTTGTCTTATTCCTGATCTTAGAGAAAAACTTTTTGTTATAGAGTGTGTACACTCTTCGGAGAGAGACAGAGAGAGAAAGGAAAGTGAAAAAGTACCCTCCATAGGGGATGATCATACTGAAATCCCTTCTCCTTCATTTCTCATTTAGGGATTTGGGGCACTCATCCATCTGTCTGGCTTTTTTTCCAACCCCATGTCTGAAATTTGAACCACATAGTTAGCCATGTGGTATCCATCTGCCTTAAACTCCAAGGCACTGGCTGGCCCATCAGCTTTTACTATTTTATGTGTGATGTTAGCTATAGACTTGTGATATATAGTTTCTAATGTGTTGACGTCCATTCCTTCCATATGGGTTTATAAAATTTTTATTATGAATGGATATTGAACTTTGTCAAGTGCTTTTTTTCTGGACCAATTAGGGTGATCATGTGGTTTTTTTATTCTCTTTATTTTGTTGACATGATACATCTTACTTATTAATTCATACATATTGACTCCCACTGACCATGGTCAATGATCTTTTTAATGTGCTGTTGAATTTGGTTTGCTAGCTGCTACTCTTTCGTGGAGGATATTTGTGTCTGGATTCATAAATGATATTGGCGTCTATTTTTGTTTTGGGTCATTGTCTGGTTTCAGTATCAGCATAATGGTAGCTTCATAAAATAAGTTTGAAAATATTTTCTCTCTTCAAATTATTTTGGAAAATTTATTTCAAATTGATATTAATTTTTTTGAGAGATTTTTGCTATAGGGCGCGTGTGCTCAGAAAGACAGAAGGTAAGAAATCACCTCACTAGGGGGATGGCCATGCCACAATCCCTTTTCCTCCATTCTCCTCTCTGGATCTTGGGCACACACACACATGTGCCCAGAATGAGCTTAAGCCACTGAGTCCGGGACTTGAACCGCAGTCAACTACATAGGAGTCCAGCGACATAGCCATTACGCCAACTGCTGGTCCCATATTAATTCTTTAAATGTTTGGTAGAAATAGTAGTAAAGTTGACAGGTCTTGGATTTTTTTCTATGATGAGAAACTTTTTATTACTTATTCAATATGCTTACTTGTAAATGGATCTGTTCCAATTTTGTATTTATTCATGAGTCAATTTTGTCAGGTTTTGTGTTTCTAAGATTTCATCAGTCTTAGAGGGAGTCTATCTTTAGGTTTTCCAATTTGTTGTTCTATAGTAGTTCATAGTCATCTCTTATGATCTTTTGTAGTTCTATAGTCTCGATTGTAATGTATCCTTCCTTATTTTTGGTTTTGGTTTAGTCTTATCTCTTTCATTCTTTGTTATTCTAGGTAAAATTTTGTTGATTTTGTTCACCTTTTCAAAACACCAACTTTAAGTTTTATTGATCTTTACTGCTTTTCTGGTCTCTACTACATTTATTTTTATTGTAATCTTTGTTATTTCATTTCTTCAGCTGCTTGGGCTCATTCTGTTCTTTTTTTACTTTCACCATAGTTTTCAAAGGTGTAATATTAGGTTATTAAATTGAGATTTTTTCTTATTTGTTTGATATAGATGTTATTGCTATGAACTTCCAATACTGCTTTTGATGTATATCATATACAGTATGTTTAATTAATTCATTAATTCATTCATTGTAAAGATCATTTATTTTATTAATCATAGAGTTGCATGTACATGCAAAAGAAAGAGAGAGCGATGCACTTTCAGGGTGCAATCTCTACTCCCCAGTACTCCAGCTCGTCAGGATCCTGGGCAAGAATGCACATGCCCATACGCATCAATGTTGCTTCCAGCATGGCAATTTGGTTTATTACCAACTGTGCTATAAAACTGGGCCAAACATTTCATTTATTTTTAGCATGTTTCTAGGATGTTGTATAGTACTTATCTAAATGGCTTGCTATAAAACAAAGGTTAATACATAGATCTCTATATATTTTTTCTCTTCTGACAGTTTCATGAGCATAGAATAAAACTGGATGAAACAAGATGTATGAATATGACAGAAAGTAGACTACAAAAATTACATGCCTAATGCAACATAGTCCTCTAGGAATTCACTTCATCTCTTAAATGGACTTCAGCTAAGTGAGCATACTCTGTAGTAACTTTCCACAAAGTCAATATGCAGTTTTATGTTGTATTATCTTAGGATGGTTTATCTAACTGAAATGATGTTCACTTTTTTCATAGGTTAAAGAAAATAAATTAACTTTCTCTTAGATGTATCACTATAGCATAACCCCAGATAATAACTTTGCTTACTTTCCTTTTTGCCATCTTGCTGACATGCTAAGTACAATATGAAAAATATAGTTTTTAAAATGATTTCCAATTAAAATAATGCAACTTATAGTTTACTTAATGCCATCACAAATTCACCAAACTATTACTTGTAATAAACCATACATTTATATCAATAGAGCTTTGGCCATGCTTTGAGATGATCCTTGTACAAGTCATACAGAATTGTATGCAGTGAAAATTAATGTAGAAGTAACTCTTAAAGAATATTTTGGCATCATAGTAATTAATGGTAAATAAAACCAAGTATTCTAAAGGAGACAGTGTAAATGTTCTTTATCAGTCTGTATCTTTATTTTTTTTATTTTTGGAGAGGTTTTTGCGATAGGGCACGTGCGCTCGCCAGACAGACAGAGAGAGAGAGAGAGACAGAAAGTGAGAAATCACTCCCCAGTGGGGATGGCCACGCCGCAATCCCTTCTCCTCCATTCTCCTCTTGGGATCTTGGGCACGCATGCACACGCGCCCGGCGTGAGTTTAAGCCACCGGATCTGGGACTCACCGCGGTCGACTACGCGTGGGAGTCCAGCGACATAGCCATTACACTAACTGCTGGTCCCTGTATCTTTATATTTAAACCTGTACTTAAGGTTCTACAAAAAATTAATTTCCAGAAAAGCTTATTTAAGATAAAAGTCTAGCAGATACTCATATACATTTTGTATATATGTTGATGTTTGTGATATTTATTTTTTATTAGCTTCAGGGAAATTAAAAACAAATAATAAAACTATAAACAGAAAAAAATAGAAAAGCAGTCTCAGTTGTACAATATGCTGTTTTTCCCTTGAGCCATTGTTATTAAACTTGCTTTTATAATTAAGTATTCTATTTATATCTAAATCCTAAACCCTAGCACAAAATAAGTATGTTAACTACTATGTATTCCCCATTTTCTTTATCTTCAATCTAATTTTTCTCATTGGGGTTTAGCTTTATGTTAATGCTACAATAAATATGTCTGTTAAAAATGTTGGAAATACATCATAGAAAATAAATTATGACTACTTGTTCATACATAAACTAAGAACCTCCTTCTCTAGTATTGCTATTTGTAATTACTCAGTAAAACAATTAGTTCTTCAATAGTAATGATAAAAATGAAGATTGCTGTGATTACAAAGAATAGTAAAAATTATTTCATTTCATAAATATAACTGTAAAGTTCCCTAGAGTAAAACTATTTGAATTGCTCCAAGCCAGAGAAGGAACCAAGAACCAAACTTCTGTGTAAGTAGCCTTGGCGAGAGCCCCCATTCCAGATGTTGCTACTGACCTAGGAAGTAGCAGAGAAAGACCCAAAGTGAGTACCAGGTGGTCTAACTCCCCATAGATGGGTCAAAAAGACCCACCAAATGTTTCATGTATGCTTATTCCACTAAGCCTAACTGCCCTGCAAATCAGCCTCACATGTGGTGTCTCAGAACAGCTTGATTACCCTACGAAATGAGCCCCCCTCCTGCCTGGCTGAGCGGCTGAGGCGCCTGTGGCTTCAGATCCTCCCTCCACCCTGTGCTCTTTTTCTCAATAAAATTTCCTTTTTATTGAGATACTGTCTCCTGAGTCTTACTTCAGACAGTGACAGTAAGTATAATATCAATACATTAGACTAAATTGTTTATTTAGGAGCTTCGATGCTATTGATATTTCCAAGTAAAGGTTAAAATATTAACACATACTATTTTTATAAATATGTACATTACTCAGGGCTAAACTTATAAAAATGTATAGTTTTTGGCTTGTATGTTATTTATTGATTAAATATAATTAGCTCTGTGTATTTTAATCAGTTTTGCAACCAAAACAAGGGACACTGTTTAAGTAGAAATCATGGTCTATTTTTTTGGAGAGGTTTTTGCTATAGGGCATATGCGTTCACCAGAAAGACAGAAAGACAGAAAGACAGAAAGCCACAAATTACTCCCCAGGGGGGATGGCCACACCACAAACCCTTATCCTCCATTCTCCTCTTGGGATCTTGGGCATGCACACACATGCGCCCAGAGTGAGTTTAATTCACTGGGTGAGGGACTTGAACAATGGTTGACGTCCAGCAATACAGCAATAACACCAACTGCTGGTCCCAAAGTCACAGTCGAAGTATCTCGAACATAAAACTAGAAATTCATGCTTTATGACATAGTGACCTTGAGAAATCACAGACTCTTACCAATAACACAAACATTTCAGAGTGACTTTTTTAAATGGGAAATAAAATGAGACAAACAAGAATCAAGAAGTATCCTTAGAATGAAAAATCTTGGAAACACGATCTCGAATCTGTTTGGTTTTTACCCCATAAACAATAGGATTGAGCAGAGGTGGGACCAGCAGGTAAAGGTTAGACAGAAGAATGTGAATGTAGGAGGGGATATGGAACCCAAACCTGTGGGTAAAGAAGGAGAAGAAAGCCAGGAGATAAAACTCAAGGAACACGCAAATGTGGGCAATGCAGGTGTTGAAGGCCTTCAGCCTTGCTTCCTTCTGGGGCAGACTGAAGACAGTGATGAAGATTCGGATGTAGGAGAGTGTGATGAAGATGATATCGATTCCAAGAATACTGAAAGCCACAAACAGACCATAGATCTTGTTGACTCGAATATCTTCTGCTGCCAACTTTACAATGGCCATGTGCTCACAGTAGGAATGGGAGACCACGGTGGTCCAGTAGAATTTCAATCGGCATTTGATAAGGATAAGACATGGAACTGCAAGGAGAGCTGATCTGAGTGTCACTGCAACCCCAATCTGAGTGACGAGTTGGTTGGTAAAAATGGTGGCATGTCTCAGAGGATCACAAATTGCCACATAGCGGTCCATTGCCATGGCTAGCAAAACACCTGATTCAATACCCTGGAATGTGTGGATAAACCACATCTGTAAGAGACAGACATCAAAGTATATCTGTGGCATGTGAAACCAAAATATTCCCAGCATTTTGGGTAGGATGCAGGTACTGAGAGCAATGTCTGTTGCTCCAAGCATGGCCAGGAAGAGATACATGGGCTCATGCAGGCTGCACTCAGTTTTGATGATAACCAGAATCAGGGAATTTCCAAACACAGCAATGATATACATAGCAGAGAAAGGAATCCCAATCCAGAACTGCACAGACTCCAAGCCTGGGATCCCAAGCAGTGTCAGCACCGAGGGCATGAAGACTGTGCCATTGAGCCGGAGCATGTTGGCATTGTGCTCTGAGCCACTTGGCTTACATCTTCTGATTCAGGCTGGCAGCATACCTTCAATGAATTCCTTCTGTTTTCTGTTCTCACCTATACAACCAGATATTGCATATAGTTTGAGAGTGCATACTTAAGACATACCCATTTACTGAAGTGGCAATTAAGTAGGTCCATAAATTTATATATAAGCTCTCTAATTCGTTTATTTTCATTATTTGTTCTCTTTTCTTTCTTTTACTTTCTTTTTCTCTGTATCTCTGTGTTTCTCTATTTCCTCCGTGCCTCTGTCTTTATTACACACACTGGTACTGCCTTAATAATAGGCATACACAAACTATGAAAGAGAGACATTGTATGTCCCCCACTTAATATACACTTAATCTCTACACTCTGGGGCAGAAATTGAAAGACTGAATGATATAAAAGCAAGAGGAACAATTGCAGATACTAGAAACAGTGTGGAAGGAGAGTGGAACATGGGGACAGTTGAGAGATAGGTAATCAAGGGTTAAAAGAAAAAAGAAAAACATTTCAGGTACACAAAAATGGAAAATTATCTGTTGATGATAATGTGTATGGTAATATCTTTAACTGGGCCAATATGCAGTATATTCATGCTAGGCAAATTCATTTGTAAGCTATAATGATATGCAATGACTGAATATATAAAACAATTAAATATTTTTTTAAAAAGAAAGGTTTTGTTCTGCTTATCCCTTATATCACAAAAAAAAGTTTTTACAGTGTTTCAGATGTTTTTGATTATGTAGAAATTTTGCAAACTTAATACATATTATCACAATTAAAATGCCAATTCAAAACATTCATATTATATTAATTACTTTTTCACCCTTCAAAAAAGAATACATTTAGAAGAAAAATAGGGAGGCAAAGTATGTCACTGGGAGGTGTGTTATTGTCTGTTAAGGATGTTTTGTGGTTTTATTAACTGTGTTAGGGAGAGATGTTCACCTGTTGAAATATCCATTTTGTAAGACAAATAAAAATGTAACTGAATGTATAAAAGAAAATGAAATGAAAAATTAATTAATAAAAAAGAATAAGCTTTTTAATATTTGGTCTAGAGATAGGACACATTTCTTGTAATATGTGGGTATGTGGTTTGTGTATAATTAGTTAAAAACTATCCCTCTGAACAACTGTTTGTTTTTCTAGGAAAATATGTTAGTGCTTTAGTACTTAACTAATGGGACCAGCAGTTGGCGTAATGGCCATGTTGCTGGACTCCCACATAGGTGACCACTGTTTGAGTCCTGGACCCAGTGGTTTAAACTCACACCAGGTGCATGTGTGTGCATGCCCAGAGTTCCGAGAGGAGAATGGGGAGAAGGGATCTCAGCGTGGCTATCCCCACTGGGAGTGCTTTCTGTCTCTCTGTCTCTCTGTCTTTTGGGGGAGTGCATGTGCCCTATAGCAAAAAACTCTCAAACAAACAAACAAACAAACAAAAAAAATCAACATCTTATTTATATATTCTTTCTACTGAGAAGCATTTTTTTATTCAGTTAAAATGTCAGGCAGTAGAAAATTAAAGGAATACTATTTTAGGAGCAATATTAAGTAGTAGGTAAATAGGACTCTATAAAGAAGCCTCCTTTATCACAGGGAGAAAATGGTCTATTAGCACAATGGCATATTAAGGTGTTTTTAAATAATAATAATAATAATACATAACAGGTACACAAATGTTGTATTAAAAAGTATTTAGATCCCACATTTATTTCTAAAATAGATCTCAGCAAGGTTTTCTGTGGAAAGTTGTATGAAATTAGAGATATTTTAGAGATACATAATAAAACCTATACACTAATAAAATCTTCTTAGGAAAAAATATTACAAATTTTGAAGTAGGAGGCAGTTTACTTGATTAAAACAATGGCCAAATAGTAAGAGTTGCTAAATAGTTGATGTACGTGGAAAATTTTCTATTGCCAAAATTTGATCAATTAATATCTTCATATTAAAATGTATACAGGAAAACTAGTCTTAGTATAATTTTGTGTAATATATCATAAATGATCAAGAATAAAAGTAAGACAAAAATGAAACTAGCATAAAATACATATTTACAAAACAAGGCATTAAGCATTAATCCCATTTGTTCATTGGGATTCATTTGAATACATGCTTTATTATGTAAAAAAAAAACAGCTTTCATGTTTTCTATCATTATAATTATTATATATTACACAGATTATTCTTATTCCTTGCTACAATAGGATGGGATAAAATGTCTCATAATTCCCAAGAGAGAAAGAAAAATAAAGTTTTTCTAGAAGAGGTGATACATAAATATAGTACAACAATGGAGTAAATGCAAATTATTTGAATTTATCTCTTTCATAAATACATATTTTTGATATGTTTCACAGCCCTAGTATATCTATTTTTTATATTCTTTTATTTTCTTTCTTTTTTTTTTTTTTGCCTTAGAGTGTGTATGCTCACTAGAGAGAGGTAGAGCGAGACAGAGGGATCACTTCCCCCCCACTCAGGGAGATTGACCACGTTGCAATTCTTTCTCCTTCATTCTTTTATCAGGATTCTGGGCATACATGCACATGCATCCAGCGTGATTTTCAGATCACTGGGTCCAGGTCTTGAACCCTAGAGTAGGTCATGTGGGATCCAGTTGCCTTAACTACCATGCCACCTCCTAGCCCTGTAGCTTTTATTATTTTTATTAATTTTAAACTTGTATTGCTAGGGGGTACATGCACTCACCATAAGCATAGAGAAGGAGAAAAAGAATCCTCCAATGAAGTATGTTCATGCAGCAGTCCTCTTTTTTACATTTCTCCATCCCATCAGAATTTGGGGCATGCATGCACATGCATATGGCATGCTTTTCAAGCCCTGGGGCTGGAATTCGAACTAAGTCAGCCATGTGGGATCTGTCTCTGAATGCACAGCATTTAACTGCTATTACATGGCCAGTCTGTCTTTCCTATTTTATGTCATATTTTTCTCATTCCAACCACATTGGTTACATGGAACAATTTCCCAGTCTTTTATTTTGTTCATTCTGCTATAGGAATGTTAGCATGTGATCTGATTTATATATCGGCTTGCAATTTCCACTTGAAAAGTAATTTTATAATATATTGGAAGTTTACTTTTTAAATGTATTTTAAGTGAAAGGGATAAACAACAGAATTTAAGGTTAGCATCCATGTAGTGCGTATCCTCTATAGATGAGACTATATGAAGGAACTGGGTAAACAATGAAGTTTCAGACGTTATTTGCAGCACAAAATATGCCTGTACTCTTTAACTTCTTTACGTTACATTTCCATGTTCACACCAGAAGATGTGCTCCTATTATCTGACTGTAGATACACCTAGATCTTGTGCTGTTAAAATAATGGGGAGAAATGTGCACATATTGAAATGGTCCCATTGTAAGTCAAACAATATGATTGAAAGTATATACAAAAAACAAATAATAAATAATGTGGAAAAAAATGGTGCTACTGATATATGATATAAATATGAAATATTAGGGCTTTCTTTCACATTTGTAATATCTAATCTTGGTTACTTCTCTTTGTAAATTTAATTTTACGCCAAGAGACTCGGAAGCAGATACATGTATAGAAGCCTATCAATTCAAATTGCCACCTTATTTGTTGAATTACAACAAAAACAACACAAACTCCTTTGGAATGGCATGAATTGTACATACTAAAAGTTATATTGCTTATCAAAGATGTTATCTATCAAAGGATAAATTAATGGGAATTCCCTGTTAACTGATATTCCAAGTATTTTATTGATGTGTTTGCAGGATAACCCAGAATTGCAATAAATCTGACATCACTAATAATACATATTTTGATATCAGTTCAGACTCAGATATTCCCTGAACTTACATAAACAGGAATTATATGTTGATTCTCTAGGCTGACATAATTATTGTTTTTTAGCTTTTACTTGTTCTCTCTTTCATACTAACCTTCTTAATCTCAACCACTTCAATGCCATCCTATCACAAATACACACACAGACATGTGGAAATGTTATTTCAATAAGTTGCTCTGTTAGGTCATTCAATGATCAGTAAGACATGAGTTTGTTTTTATCTTTCCCCTTTTTTGAGAAAAAGAAATAAATAAACAAACAAAAAACAACCCTTTTGGTCTATAGGGCACTTGACTTCTTATCCATTCATCCCTGATGTTTCACAATTTCTGATCATTTTCTTTGCTACCGTCTATTAGATGTAACAGAGCCAGAAGTGACCTGTGACCCCATTAGACCAACCTGAATTGAAGTGCATTCTGAGGATGATTTAATATCTAAGGGAAAGCCAATCTCTGCCCTGATGGGGATTAATTGTGCACTATTACCTTAAATACTCACATTTACAAATGAGGCAAAATTCTCATAATTACATGATTCCTTGCAAAACCTTTAGTTTTGATTTCTTAACCTTATTGTATAAAATTAAACCCACTAAATGTGAATGTTTATGGAATCAGTTTTTATTTTTATATAATAGTTGAGAGAGAGCGAGATATATTAAGAAATTTTTACTCAAATATCCTTTAGAACACTTTAATTGTCCCAGTCTGGTGCTGATTTTTTACTGATGTCATATGACTTTAAGTTTCTCACTTCTCACTAGGTGATAAAAAATTATTTTCAGAGGCATCACAGAGATTTGACTGTAGGAGAAGCAATATAAGCAAAGTTTACTAGCCTCTGTAATTCATTGAGTACTATAAGTATATATATATATGAGTTTTAAGCTTTTTAAATTTTGTTAACATTACAATATATTTTGATGACTAAATAACATGTCAATTCCCTATACCACTTTACCTCCATAAAGATGTTTATTTTTTCATCCATTTTGATAATTGCCATTTTCCCAGGTTGTAAATACTCACAGAATGTATTTTAATAGTTTGTACAGTGATTTTTTTTTTTTTTCCCTACAGTTATCACAGTGTTCCAATGGCAAATAAACTGAAG